CCTGTGGACCTGGCTGGGAAGGAAGGAGGGAAAGAGATACTTCCTGAATGCCTGCCACCTGCGGGGCAGCAAGCTAAGCACCTTCCACTGATCCTCCTAGAAAAACCTCACCGGATTATAAGGGGTAGATACTTGTATCATCCCCATTGTACAGAGGGGAAAACAGAGGCACCACAGGATGAGGAACCCACCCAAGGTGACACAGAGGAGCAGCAGAGCTGGGATCAGAACCAAACTCCACTATTCCAGTATCCAGGCACCTAGCCAAGGTGGTACCTAGGCCCTGCCAAAGTGCAGTGACTGAAGGACCCTGTCTCCCTACCCCTACCTACCCCTACCACCACCTCTTGCTCTCCTGTGGGGGTGACAGGTACAGGTAGTAGGACAACTCCTATCCATCCCACTGTCCCTTAGCTAAAGTGGTCCTCTGTCCCTCTCCCTATAAACGGGTTGAGTCCACCCCTCGCCCACCTACATGCCAGTCACCTCCAAACTGTAAGGGCCCTTCATGACATCTAACCCAATCTTCCCACCGTATTATTTTCAGAGGCCCAGAGAGGTGCAGTGATTTATCTTAGGACACAGAGGCAATGAAAGAGAACCCTGAGGTCCTCCCCCAACCCACTCTTTTCCCCCAGTGCTGGGTCTGGAACCACGGCCTTTCTCAGGCTAGGCAAGTGCTCTACTGCTGAGCTGCCTCCCCACCCCCTCCTGGCTCCTCTCAATCCAGCCCACACACTGCTTTCCCAGCACCTCAACAGTCCCAGTGCCCCAGCAGGTCCCCCACCTCTCCAGATACCTGAGATTGGAACCCAGAGGCCCAACTTCCCAGCAACCTCCACTGGCCCAGCCCCCCAGGGAGCCAGAGGAGGGGGCTTATCTGCACCTGTGCCGTGGGGGTGTCTCACCCTGCCCAGCCCTCCCTGCCAGGCGCCTTGATTAATGGGCTGCTGCTATCTTATCTCCCAGCCGCAGCAGTTCAGGACTGATGGTGGCAGCAGCCTGGGAGAACACATTCAACCTGGTCAACCTAAGAGCTCCCCGGGAGATGGGGGAGCAGGAGGGAGGGTCCCCGGGGCCTGTTCTCTGGCTGCCTCCTTACTCCCCAACCTGGACTGAGAGCCCAGGACAGTGCCTGGTATTTAACAGGGACTTGCTAAACGGTAGCTCTTGGAGTCCTTGAGCTAGGGCCTGCGTGGGATCAAGCAGCCCCACCTGGCCAGCCAAAGGGTAACTAGGAAGTCACATCTTCCTCAGGTGGCCTGTTTGTAAAGAAGACACAGGTTTGGGCTTAGAAATGGTTGATTTCGTTTCTATGTCATTTTAATGAGTGACCTAAGTGTGGACTTAGGGGTCTCTCTCTCTGTGAGGCTTTTGCAAATCCTTTCATACTCTGGGCCTCATTCTCCCCATCTGATAAAGGGGTTTAGTGATCTCTACATTGTCCTCCACACAGGGCTATTAGGATGAACTAACTTCTGAAAAGTACTTTAGAGACTATTCCATGTCCTACTGGAACATGGGCTCTGGGGTCCCAGAGGAGTCAGACACCCAACTGACCGAGGGGTTGATGTTGATGTGCTTCTATTCCCAGGACCAACTCCAAATCTAGGTTCAGCTCTGGGAGAGAAGGTGCCTGCGCCTTCGGCCTCTAAGGCTGAGGCTGTGGAAGGAGGGCTAAAAGTTCCATTTTACCCAGTCCCAGGCTACTCCACAGCCCAGGCATGATGTCAATAATCCCTTCACTTTCCAAAGGGTCCTCGTTTGGACAACAAGTTATATGGTCCCAAGGTTGAAGGAACAGGGTGTTATCCCTCCCCCAGGGACGGTGAGACTGCATCTAACCTAAGCGAGTGGCCAGCATGTCTGCAGTCAAGCAGTTAACTCAGTTGGGGCTGTGTAGGGGCCCAGACTCAGAACCCCACAGCTGGACGGGTTACCAGTGGAAGGGCCCAGAGGACTCCTCCATCAACCTCCTCCCCAGAAACACATAGTCCCTCTAGAGAGGAAAAGAAGATGAAGATGAAAGAGAGGTGGGCAGGAGGAAGGGAAGGAGAGAGGCATGGACCCTCAAACGTGCAAATTGAGAAGAGAATAATAAACGAATGAAATGAGAGAAGGAGGAAGAAAGTGGATGAATGGATAAAAGGGGAGAATGGGTGGAAGAAAGGATGGATGGATGATGGCTGGCTGGCTGGATGGGTGGATGCATGGACCAAGGGAGACATGAGAAGGGCACCGCAAACAGCCCTGCAGGTCCTTATTTCCAGGACATACAGATCGACTCTTTAGGGCTGGGAGAAGTCAGCCTTCCCTCCCCCACTTAAAGACATTTCCAGGACCACCCCTTCCCTCTACTCTCTTTTGCCCCTTCCCAAAGGGCAAAGGGCAGCACCACCAAGGAAAGCCAGCTGCTATCAGGCAGTTCATCCCAGCCCTGTTTACTCTGGATGGGCAATTAACAGAGCCTCCTTCCCGATCAATTGACAGCGGGGTGGGGGGGCTTGTGCAGGGCAGGGGCCCCACAGGCCAGCTTACTGGTTGATAAGCAACGGGGAACAGAGACAGGCTACTCCCTAATCCATCAGCACCCCTCCTGCCTCTGAAGAAGCACCCAGGTCCTGGGCAGTTAGCCTCCGGTGTGGGGTTGCTAGGGAGCAGTGGGCTGGGCCCTGATCTGCCTTCCTTGGGATAAAGCCAAAAGACTGTGTGATCCCAAGGTGAAGATCATGGGTGTCTGCAAGGGCCAGGCCAAGGTTCATAGAGTGGTCTCTTGTTACCTATGAGGGTGTGACCTTGAGCAAGCTATTTCAACACCCGGCCCCAGTCTCCTGCTGGGTAAAACAGGGATGAAGATAGGACAGACGTATGTCACAGGGCTGCTGCCAGGACTGCATCAGCAAGCCCACCACACAGCCCAGCACCCAACTCCAATAAGACCACAAAACAAGCTTTGGTCTCCTTTGGGCACCTGGGACATTTTCTCAGAATTTTCATTTTCTGGCTCCTTCTCATCTCCATGGGGCCCTCTCAGGGACTGGCACACATGCGGAAGCCCTGCTCCTCCCCTTCCCAGAAGGACCCCGGAGGTTCCCACCGGCCACATGAAGTTATTTGAATTTTAATTAGTTAAAATTCAACAAAATGAATAGTATCCATTCATGAAAAAGGAATGTGGTACTGATACATGCTATAATAGGGATGACCTCAAAAGCAATGCTAAGAGGAAGAAGCCAGTCACAAACTGTCACTCGAGTATGTGAAGATGTACATTTCTATGAAGTGGCAAATCCATAGAGACAGAAAGTGTTGTGGTGTCACCGGGGACTGGGGAAAGAGGGCGTAGGGAGCAACTGCTTAACGTGTATGGGGGTTTCTTTCCAAGAAAACAAATTTTTGGAACTAGAGAGAAAGCAATGCTTGCATCACGTTATAAATGTACTAAATGCCACTTAAAGACCCACTTGAGATGGCTGTTTGGGTCGTGTGAGTTTCATCTCACTCAAACACCAAGTAAAAATTAGCTCCTCAGTAGCACTGGCCACATGTGCCTAGTGGCCACTGAACAGGAGAGCACAAAGAGGGAGCATGGCCATCACTGCAGAGATTCCACCAATCAAAGCTGTGGAGGCAAACTTGACCTCCTGGAAATCAAATAATTATAGTGATAAAACCTCTTCACAGACATTAGCTCTTCACAGACATTAGCTCACCTGAGCCTCTCTCCAGGGTGGCATTACATTTTCCTTGAAGAGAAGGGCAAACTGGGACCCCGAGAGAAGTGCAACCCCAGGGGGGCACAGAACAAAGCAGGCCAGGGAGTTATTCTGGGTCTTGAGGCATCAGGGCCAAGGGCCTTCCTGCCTCTTAGGGATGATCACTCCTGAGCTGCACCCTGGCCTCTGGCTCTCCTGCCCACACCTTGCCTCTTGGTTCACCATCAGAGCTGCTTTCTCCTAACAGGGCCCTGGCACCCGTTTAGAACAGAAAACACCAGTTGTGAAGGTGTGTGGTCGGGAGTGGAAGGGCGCTCCAGGCCCGTCTGCAAAAACTGTGAGGGAGAGAACTTATTGCCAAGTGATTTGGAATTCTAACAAAAATTCCAGGAAGCCAGAGCCTGGGTATTGTGATTTGAGGGGAAAGAATGCACCTCTCCCTGACCCCGGCTGCCTTGCACATGACCAGGTCAGCAGGGCACCGACCTCTGTCTGCAGTGGACCCTGAGCCATCTTCAGGGACCTCATGGTGGGTCTGGGAGGGGCAAATTGGCCTTTTTAGCTTTCCTAACTTGGGAACAATCTGGACCCATGGGGCTGTGGGAAAAGCACAGAATGTTAGGAGCATCAGACCTTTGTTCAGCTCCAGCCCAGTCATTTACTGCCTGGGTGACGTGAAATAAGTCAACCTCTCTGAGCCTCAGTTTTCTCATCTGTAAAATAAAGACTACTTATGCATGCCTCCCTCAGCTGCAAGGATGGAACAAGATAACAGATGGGGGTTATTTGCCAGGCACAGCAGTACACATCTGCAATCCCAGTGGCTCAGGAGGCTGAGGCAGGAGGATCGCAAGTTCTAGGCCAGCCTCAGCAACTCAGTGAGGCCTAAACAACTTAGCAAGACCCTGTCTCAAAATATAAAATACAAAGGGCTAAGGACATAGCTCAGTGGCTAAGCACCCCTGGGTTCAATCTTGGTACCAAAAAAGATGAGTTGTCCTCACCAGGATCCCAAGAGTTCTCAGCTACTGTTCACATTGGAATCTCTCCTGACCCAGGAACTCCTGGTAAATCCTCATTGATAATAGTCCAATGACAGCAGCAGGCCAGGCTCCCTGAGGGCAAGGATGACAACCAGGCAGCGGCAAAGGCTGGGGCCTCACTGCACTCAGGGTGTGTGTGGTAGAGTCACATCCAGCTGGGAGCCTCCCCACTGTGTGACCTTGTCACCTCTGCCTTTTCGTGGAGCACAAGGAGGAGGAGGAGGAGGACGGTAACACTTACCTTAGGACATTGAATGGAGGTTGAAATGAGACCACAGCACACTCAGCACAGGCCTGACACTTAACTGTCTGCTGACACCATCATCCATCAGGGCCCTGTTCTGGGTCTGAGCAGATAAGAAGGGCGTGAACTCAACTAACCAACCCAAGCAGAAGGGACAAGGGACAGGGACTAGGGCACAGGAGGGAATTCCAGTTGTATGGAGCTCCCAGAAGGGAAGTCGTCATTTCAGTCAGAAGAGGCCCAAGAACAGGGCACTGGAGAGACACTGTGACCAGCAGGGGTGCAGAACAGGGGACCAGGTGCACACACACCCCCCACTCCCACCCAGACCATCATTTGTTATCCAAGTCCCAAGCTCACTGCATCCAAATCCCCTGGGAGAGACAGGCATTGAACTGGAATCCCTGTAGGTGGCCCAGCAATCTAAACAACGTGTATTTTAATCAGCTTCCATAGTTATATTGCTTTGCAATATAAAAGTAGTTTTGGGGGGGGGCTGGGGTTTTGGCTCAGAGGTAGAGCACTCGCCTGGCATGGATGAGGCTCTGGGTTCGATCCTCAGCACCACATAAAAATAAAATAAAGATATTGTGTCCACGTATTAAAAAAAAAAAGAAGAAAAAAAAAAAAAAGTACTTTGGGAACTACTATGGGATATGCCCAAATCAGCCAACCTAGCCCAGGAAGGCCCAAGAGGACAGGGACCATTCACAACCAAAAGAAGTTAATCCCCCATCTTCATCTATCCATCGTCCCTCTTAGAATTAAACACCAAAAACCATGGAGGTATATGCAGGGTAAGAAGGAGCGACCGGGACAACACTGACACTGACCGACTCCAGCTGATAGCCATCAATCAGAATAGACACTGACCCATCAGAACACCAAGAACAGCCGAGCTGTAGAGGCCCTGGACGTCAGGCCCCGGAGGGAGTTCACACTGGGCAGGGTCCACGGTGGGCAGGGCTCTGGGCCCGCGCCAGCCGGAGCCACACTTGCCCCTTTGCCTCTGTCGTATCTGCCGGGTTCCCACGCACCGCCTCTGTCTGATGAAAGCCCATGCGCCAGGCGTCCCTCCACAGGGCCTCTGTGGGCATTTGGGGGGGGACGTTTCTGGGTGGGGGAAGGCTGTGCCAACGCTGTCCACTAAACGCCAGTAGCAGCCCAGTCGTCCTGATGACCCAGCCCAGGCCACAGCCCAGATGAGAAGCAACCAGCCCCCGCTATAGGTGGAGCTGCAACAGGAGCACTGACCGGAAGTGGGCTGAGCCAGGTCTCAGAGACAAACAGGGTTTCCCGCGGTGGGCAGAAGGAGCCCTTTCCAGAGAGGCTGTGTGAGCCCGGGCTCCGAACTGCCGGCTGAAGGCCGAGGACCAGGTAGCCCCCTGGGGCCTGAACTCTCAGCAGCCAGCACAGAGGGGCCATTCTGGGGCCAGTCAAGAAGGCCAGGACCCATCCAGCTGTTCCCAGGCCACGGCCCCAGCTTCCTCCTTGCCGAGGACAATTGCTCCATTGGCTGGAGTCGAGGAGAGGAGGGTCAGTCCACCATGTCCCCGCCCCACTGGCTGTGGCCTTCGCAGCTCCGCCTGCCCCGCACCCTCTCCTTAATGAGGACATTGTTTGCCCAAGATTCCCCCAATAGCTGGCCCCCACTCCTAATGCTCCTGCCCTGAGTTTCCCCTTGGCAGTCCTGCCCCCGGGGTCCTCCCAGGGGTTCCTGACTTCCTCTCCTGCACCCAGAGCACAAAGTCCCAGAGGCCCCTCTGACCTGCTGTCCCCTTGCTGAGCCAGTCACCGCCCCCTCTAAGCCTCTGTTTTTTTATATTAATCAGAGCTTCATGGGCTGCCAATTGACTTCTGTTCAGCTTGAGAGCTGGAGTTCAGTCCTGAGAGCATGTCATTCCAGCCCAAAGCAAAGAAATATGCTCTTTTATTTACAGCCTAATGAACCATTCTGTGTTGATTTGGGGAAACACGGAGAATAGTTTATGACCTGTTAGCATTGCCTTCACAGTCCCTGGATGGTCGGGCCTCACAGAGTAGAGGACAGCTTTCAGCCACCACATTTTATAAATCTGGGGCCCCATGGGCCCACATCCCCATAGCCAAGGCTAGGAAAGAGGGGCCCTGCACATCCACTTCCTGGGATTGCACAGACCCCCTCAACACTTACACAGCAGGTTCTCCCACCTTCATTTAATTTCCCAACAAATCTGCAAAGAAATTCTCCCAGTCCCTGTTTTGCAGATGGGAAACTGAGGCCCAGGGAGTCTTGTTTTTTCTGAATTCCCTTAGCCTGCAAGCCACAGAGATCAAGGCAGGCAGAGGGACCTCTGACTCTGCACTGAGTGCTTTTTCTACCTTCCACAGAGTGACTCTGGAGCACCTCTCATGTTTGTTCCTCGGCTGGCCTCCAGTCTAGACAGTGAGCTCCCTGAGGTCACAGGCCCTGTGGCCTGCTGCAGCCTTAGTGCCTTGAGTCTCATTGAAGGGTCTGCTCCCTCGGGCCCTCTTCCCTGCAAGGCAGTTTGGGTCAGCCTTTTTCAGGTTGGCACTTCTTACACGCAGCCAAGGATCTGCAAACCATAGGAGGAAGTCTTGGGTTTGAGTCCTGGTTCTGCTTCTTGGCTGTGTGATCCCAGGCAAGTGACCTACTGTCTGTGAGCCTTGGTTTTTGCATGTGATAAAAAGAACGAAAATGCTTCTCTCAAGGTGCTATTGGGATAATGAAATGTTAGCAGAGCGCTAACACCAGGTACCTAGGAGGTCAAACAAGTATCCAAGAGAGAAAGGGTAGAGGGAAGCTGACCTAAGCTTAGGGGGCTTGTCCATCACTCCCCACCCCGCCCCCAAAACAAGCAGCTGACACAGCACTCAACTTACTCCACTCAGACACCACTCACTCCCCCTGAAGTTAGCGTGTTATTCTCCTGTGCTTCCCAAGAATTCTGGCAGATCCCAAAAAAGGTTCTGGTCCCCAGCCTGAAACCAAATGACTCCAAAGACCCTTTTGTTTACCACTTCCTTCCACCAAGTCTTCATCCAGCCATTCAGTCATTCAATTGTGCGTCATTTATTGAGCACCTACATGTGATGGATGGTGTCAGAGACGGCTTTGTGGAGTTCTTGGTCCAGCAGGAAACCAGAAACTGATCAAATAAACATGATTACATAATCATCAGTGTGATGAGGGCTGCAAATGAAGCTTCAGGGTTCTAGAGAGTGCCCAGTAAGGAGCCAGTCGTCCTGATGACCCAGCCCAGGCCACATCCCAGATGAGAAGGAACCAGCCCCCGCTTGGGTAAGAACTGTATCCCAAGAACAATGGGAACCAATGAGTTATCTTGAGCCAAAGGGTGGAGACAGCAGTTTTGCAGTGTGAGTGATCACTTCAGCTTCTGCAGAGTGGAAGAGACTAAGGACAGCCGAAGAGGACAAGTGGAGGGCAATGAGGAGAGGGAGGGTGAGGAAGGAAGAGCATGGGTGGATGTAAGAAAGTCAGGAACAAGGAGCTGCAGAATGGGATAATGGTCTCGAAAGACCACTTTAACCAGCAGTTACATAGATAGCTCTTACTGTGTACACACTGTTTTCAGCAATTTTTTAAAAATTAACTCTAACTTCTCAATAATCCAATGAGGAATTATTGTTATTAATATCCCCATTTTACAGATGAGGAAACTGAAGTACAGAGAGGTCAAATAACCAGCCCCAGGTCCAGTGGCATTGCTGAAATTAGAACTTGGTCTGGTCCCAGAGTTCATGCTCTTAGCTGAAACTTTGACTGCATCAGATGTACTCCTAGCTGAGGCTGCCTCCTGGCCACAGCCCAGGGACTCAGCAGTGTTGAGAACTCAGGCTGGAGAGAAGAGCGTTGTTCAGCCTCCTCTTCACTGGCAGCCCTGTTCAGCAAGTGCCACCATGCCCCCACCCCATCCCACTTGCTTTCCCCCCTTCGAATGGGCACACTCAGAGCTGGGCCAAGCCCTGGGCCCAAGACAAGCCTGTCCTCTCCTTTTGTTCCTGAACAATGTGAGCTCCAGGACACTCTGTCAGTAACCAGCTCACAGAAGGGACAACTCAGGCTCACCTCCCTGCCATTTGATTCAGTGACCAGTGAGCCTGGCTCAAGCCCCTCTATGGGGCTTGTCACCCCTATGGGTGCCCATGATCCAGAGCACAGGCATTCAGCACAGAAACCTGCAGAGCTGGGACCTTGGGGCAGAAGTTGATTTTGCAACTGACAAAGCTTAAAGGCTCGAAAGTAAAACAGTGCTGAAGGGTCGGGTCAGAGGAAGCTACCCAGGGGTCAGGACAGCCGTATTCAGTTTCCTCTTAGAGAAAATGGTGTGTGGGGGGATACCCGGGGATAACAGGACCCTGAAGCAACAGTAGTTCTACTAATCACACACACTCACCCTGGGCATTCACCAGCAGCCGCTATGAGGACAGTGCCCCAGCAGGGGAGGGCTCAGGTTGTAAAAGGCAGTTGACTGGCTCTGAAAGAACTGACAAGACTGCCTTATCTCCCCCGCCCCCAAGGCTGCAAGCCTGTGCAGCAGGACCTTCTCACAGCCAGGGGGTGGGATAGGTGTCGGGGCAGTGGGCCTCTTCCATTCCTCAGCCCACCTCAGGCCAAAGACAAGGCCAGCCTCACCTCTGTCATCATCCCAAGCCACTTTCTTTTGAGTATCTCATTTGACATTCAAGATCCCCTCTGGAGAACACAGGGCAAAGCCATCACCCATACTTCACAGATGAAGCGACTGAGACTCGGGGTATCAGGGGGACTTGCTAGTCAATTGGAAATCTGTAACTCAGATCTTTTGAATAGAAGCTTGGTGCACTCCCCCTGCCCCCAGACTGCCCCTCCTGGGAGCCTTGTAGGTTGGCATGAGAGGGCAGCCTTCCTGGCTCTGTTACACCACTGATCACAGAGCACTAGGCACCAGGTTCTAGTTAAGTATTGGTTCATGGAATGATTGTTACCACGTTCTATGCAGTAAAAGGATCAAAGAAGGATATTTCATACAGCAAGAAGGACAACCCAATCAGAAGATACAGTAGTCATGAAGCTTCATACTCCTAACAACATAGCTTCAAAAGACATAAAACCAAAATGACTTTAAAAAAAAGAAAGAAAGAAAAGCCCAACAAATCCACAAGCAAAGTAGACTTTATACATCTCGCTCAGAAATAGATTAAGTAAACCAGCAGTCCTCAAATATTTAACCTTGGAACTTCTTTGAGGATCCCAGTTGAAAACCTCAAAGAGCTTTTGTGTATGTGGGTTTATCATTTACCATATTTAAAATTTTAAATGAGAAGAAATAAATTTGTTAATCTAATAAATCATTATATGTTAACATAAATAAATTTTCATGAAAAATAATTATATTTTCCAAAGCAAAAATATATATTGAAAAGAGTGGCAATTGTTTCATATTTTTGCAAGCCTAATGTCTTACTTAATAAAAGATAGCTGCATTCTCATAGGTGCTTTTGCATTCAATTTGCTGCCACATATGGTTTGGTTGAAGTATATGAAGAAAATCTGGCCTCACCCAGAAATGCAGTTGAAAAAAGGAGGAGTATTTTAATAGCTTTTTTGAATAAACATGGATATTCCTCTTTGATACTACTAAAAAAATGACATATAGTAGTTTCTTAAATGCTCATTGTAATATAGAATCCAAAGCCACATCAACAATCTTTTCTTACTCTATTATCTTAAAAATCCATTGGTGTCACTGGGCACAGTGGTGCATAACTGTAATCCCAGCTGCTTGGGAGGTTGAGGCAGGAGGATCTCAAGTTCAAAGCCAGCCTCAGCAACTAGGAAGGCCCTAGGCAACTCAGTGAGACAATGTCTCTAACAAAATAAAAAAAGGGGCTGGCCATGTGGCTCAGTGTATAAGCATTCCCTGAGTTCAATCTCTGGTATTTAAAAAAAAAAATCCACGGGGCTGGGGTTGTAGCTCAGCAGTAGAGTGCTCGCCTAGCATGTGCAAGGTGCTGGGTTGGATCCTCAGCACCACATAAAAATAAATAAGTAAAATAAAGGTATTATGTCCAACTACAACTAAAAACAAAATTTTTTTTTTAAAAATCCGTCATTCTATTTTGTACTTTGAATTTTCTATACTTTTGACCTTGTAGACAAAGCCCTGAAAAGGTTTTGGGAACCCCCTGGGGTATCCTGACCACATTTTGGAAACCACTTGAAATAGACAATAACAAAGTAGGAAAATATAGGATTGATAATAAAATTAACAAGTTTGATCAAAGAGGTCATATAACCTAAGAGGTGTCAGTGGACATCTGTATAGAACTTTGCTCATAACAAACCACAAGTACAGGTTCTTTTGAACAAGTGGTCCCCTACATCAGCTGGGGAAACACGTGCCAGGACAGACCACAGACACTCCAGAATGGACACATGCCCAGGACACCAGGTGTTCCACCCACTGCCTCGGCCCTGTAATGTAGTTGGAAATGGGCACCACATCAGAGAGCGGGCTTCTTCTCAGCCACAGAGCCAGGGAAACAGGCCGGCCACTGACAGAGAGCTCCCCTCATGACTGCCCCTGGCACAGCCATGACTGGCTCAGTGGGTGGTGAAGGGCTTCCCTCCTCTTGGCTACCATCATGAGTCCACATCAGGGAGATGCAGGAGTCTCAAAGTCAAAGTTGCCCCTTCTCTTCTTCTAGGAGGCATCCAGATTGGCCCCGCTGCCCTTTGGAACCCCCAGAGCTGCCAGGTACTCCCTTGGCTCCCATGTGCTCTTCTTACACAACCAGAGTGGGAACAATGCCTGGCTCTGTCCAGGTCAGGCACTGGGATGCCAAGAACAGCCCAGTCAACCAGCTACCTAAGGAGCCAGCACCTTGCACAACCACCTGGGGGGTCCTAACGCCCCCACCAGTGCCCAGGGCCACACCTCCCTGGACGGCAGAAGCCTGCCAAGCCCAAAGAAAGGTCAGGGAGCCAGAGTATGGGAGCCAGTGTACAGGGAGCAGAATCACTGCTCAGAGTCCCAAGCCAAAGCCAGGGCCAAGGTGTCCAAGGAGGCTTTCAGAGCACACTCCACATTTTTATCCCAACTTCACAATCCTCTGGGGATCTAACATTCCCAGGTGCCCTTCACAGTCTGGCTCTATGCAGGGGACTTTCTTTTTTATTCATTGATTTGTTCATTTTATTTTCCCATCACAATAACTGCTAAGGAAGTTCCACTTGACAAACAAAGATTTAAGAATCAGAATAGTTAAGTACTTGCCCAAGGTCACATAGCTAGTAAGGGGCCAGGAATTGAAACTGGCTCTGTCTGCCGAGTTGGGGGCTCTTGTACCCTTACTGCACCATGCTGCCTGGCCCCGTGAAGACCCATCCTTCACCTTCTTTCTGACTGGTCATCTGCAGAACCTCTTAATGTTCAGGATAGAGAGAAGGAGAAGGGGAAGGAAAGGCACCCAGCTTGCTCTACCTGGACCCAATTAGGTCATCCTGGACATCAAAAGATGCCCTGCCCCATGCTGGGCTGTCTGTTCACTTCTTCTGCCTCCATTGCCCTGCCTTGGCGCTTCTCACTAGATCAGATAGAGCAGGGCTGGGTCTTCTCACATCTGTATCCCCATACCTTATATACAGCAAGTGCTCCATACATATTGGTTGAGTATTAAGGACTTGTCCCTCCCCTTTTTCCACCCCCACTGCAAGAAGTGGTGGAGCCCTGGAAATATTTAGAGAGCAGGGAGGAGGGGAGGAGGACAGGAGGCAAGGGCCGCAGCACTCCTGCCACTCAGCAGAGCCAGCCTCAGACTCCCAAGGCCTCCTGTGAGGTTCCTCCCAGGGTACTTCCCCACTAAAGGCTGGGGTGTCAGGAGTTAGGCAGGGCTTTCAAGAAAGAGTCCCTGCTCCCACCAAAATTTTCCTCCAAGTTCCTCTCACAGGAAAGTTAAGGAAGGCAAGGCCCAGACACCAAGCACGGCACTCCTGAAATCCTCTGGTGCCTCCCTGGATGCCCTCCCAGAGACACTGTCATGTCCTTCCTCCTCCCACAGCATTTCCTACCCCAGGTTGGAAGTGATTTTATGGCAGCATGGTTAAGCCCTGACCTTGGGAGCCCAATACATGGATTCAAGTCCTGGTTCCTTCACAGTTGACTCTGACCAAGGGCCAGTCATTTCACTTCTCTGAGCCCCTCTGTAGCCATCTGACCCACAGATTCAGAATCCAAACCTCCTGATGTTTTCTAAGCTCTGACTCCTGCACCAGATTATCTGGGTTCAGTTGTTGGCTCTAATCCATACTTATTCTCTCTTGGTCTCAGTATCTTTATCTGTAAAGTGGGGATAATAATAGAGCCTACCCAATTTAAAGCATTTCTTTGATAATTAAATAAGGTAATTTATGCAATATGCTTAGAATAGTCTTGGCACACAGAAGCCAGTAGGTACTAGCATATCATTAGAAATAGAAGTCTATATGGTTGATCCATGCAGAGAACTGTCCCGGCACTTAGTAGGAGCTCGGAGATACCGTAATGAGCTTCACCCCCCACTAAGCTGTGATGTCTGGGTCTTATCTGTCTGGTTCCCCCGCAGCCACAAAGGCTCAGCACCAGTCGGGAGCTCAATGAATGCCCTAAGACAAGGGCCAAGAGTACTGACTTGGACCGGGAGACAGTGGACAGCCAGAAGCTACCGCAGAGCGGAGGCGGGAAGGCATAAGCAAAGAGATAAGAAGGAAAGTGAGTGAGAAAAGGAACAGGAGAGACTTTGGAGAAGAGAGATAAGGAGGAAGGATGGAGAAGGCCAGGGGCACACAATGCTGAGGGAGGTGAGGGAAACCTGGGGAGAGGCACAGCCTGGCCTGGCTGTGGCCAGGGAACTGTGACCCGAAAGGGGCGTGGAACGGCGCTGGGCGGGACCAGCGGGACCTGGGCGGGAGGGATCCAGGGGCCCCACCCTGCCTCCGCGCCTTGGGGCGGGGGCCGGGCGGCTGGAGATTGGCTGGGGTGCTCGGCAAGGCCGGGGCTGGAGCCCCATGGTGGGAGGCGCCAGGATCACTCCGGGCGCCTAGAGCTGAGCGGAGGCTGCCACCTATTTGGACGACCTCCGCTACGGCTGCCGGGGAGCGTCGGGGGCCTTGCGGCGCGCGTCTGGGGACAACGCGGCCATGCGGGCGGCTGCGGGGGGCGCGCGGGCGGCCGCTCTGGCGCTGCTGCTGGGGGCGCTGCACGGGGCACCGGCGCGCGGCGAGGAGTACGACTACTACGGCTGGCAGGCCGAGCCTCTGCACGGCCGCTCCTACTCCAAGCCGCCGCAGTGCCTCGACATCCCCGCCGACCTGCCACTTTGCCACACGGTGGGCTACAAGCGCATGCGGCTGCCCAACCTGCTGGAGCACGAGAGCCTGGCCGAGGTGAAGCAGCAGGCGAGCAGCTGGCTGCCGCTGCTGGCCAAGCGCTGCCACTCGGACACGCAAGTCTTCCTCTGCTCGCTCTTCGCGCCCGTCTGCCTCGACCGACCCATCTATCCGTGCCGCTCGCTGTGCGAGGCCGTGCGCGCCGGCTGCGCGCCGCTCATGGAGGCCTACGGCTTCCCCTGGCCCGAGATGCTGCACTGCCACAAGTTCCCTCTGGACAACGACCTCTGCATTGCTGTGCAGTTCGGGCACCTGCCTGCCACCGCGCCTCCAGGTAGCGCCACCACGGCCGCCCCCGCGCGCTCCGACGGCCCTGGAGCGCAAGCTGGGCTCCCCAACCCCTTAGCACAGATCTGCGAACCCCGACAGGTGCCACACCCTGCACACGCACACACGCCATTTCCACTCATCCCTGAGCCCCGGGGAAGGTCTCCTGCTGCCTTCCCGCCTTCCCGTGGACTGTCAGAGCACGGCTGCAGGGAGGCCGCACTCTGGACATTCCCACTGGTTCTCTATTCCAACTCCTGCCCCGCGCCCCTTGCAGAGCTCGCCTTCCCAAACTACTAAATCTCTGGGTGCCCTAGGGACAAATGCCTTATCAGCTCCCAGAGTCCCCAAATGCCCAGGTCGCTAAACAATGCCTTTAACTTGGACAGTGCCTCTCAGCTGAGCCCCAGGGCACCAAGACAAGCATCATCCCTACCCGGTATTGGGACCTTGGGAAGGAGGAAGAGGGAGGGGAGAAGGGGATATGTGTGTTGGGGGTGGCTATATAAGGGTCTCCCTGGCTATCCCCCTCTCGTTTTCTATGCCTGGAACCCTTATTTCTCCTGCTTCCCCAATTCCTGGGCTGAAGTCTTCTGGGGAAACTCAGTGCAGCAGATTCTGCCCCTAGGAAGGAGGCCGTAGATTAATTGCTTGACTTCTCTGAGCGTTAATATCCTTTCCATAAAGGATCCCAGGTTCATGAAACCTTTATGACTCTAAGCTATCCCTTCCACCTGCTCTCCAGTAACTCCGAATATCTGCTTGGTTTCAACCTCCCCTTCATTGTGTTAGGCCACATGCAGCTCTTCCCAGATGGAGTCTGCACCCCCTCCCACTTCCTCCTTCCAGGTGGGCTGGGTACCCAGTGCCCCATCCAGCAGGCAAGCCTGGCCTGGACAGTTAATAAAGGACACCAAGAAACTCCTAATGCTGAAATTCCCCAAAGAGGCAGTACTGCTCCATCTTTTCCTGTACTTACTCCCAAAAAAACAACTGGACCCACCCATGGGCTAATCTTACCCTCGTCTGCCCAGTCCTACAAGATTGATGAGCCTTGGGGTGTGGAGACAAGGCAAAGTCCCTATCCTGGACGTTGAGAATCAACAGGGAAGCAGGAGACAATTGGCCTGAATAAGTGTTTGTGTGGCCAAAAGATGAAATTCAAGAATACTTCATATAAAAATGAGGAGTTTGGGGTTCCTTGAAAACTCAGAAGTTTTAGCAATGCTGAGCTGAGCACCTTGGAGGGGGCACTGCTCAGCCCAGCTCTGCCAGCTTCACTGGTTACCCCCAAGCATGGCCCCTGAAAACCCCCACCCATCCTGAATCCTAAGCCAGCTTCTCACAAGCTTTGCAGACCTGGGTAACCACTCTGGGCCTCAGTTTCCTTTTCTCTGAAATAGAAATAATACCTGCTTCATAAGCTGAAGGTTAAATGGAATAAAACTTAGAAAACAATGAGCATCACGGTGCAGCTGCCAGGGTCTTTGCCCACCTATATAATCTTGTCTCAGTGATTGTCACAATCAGTCAGTACCAGATGACGTATTATTGCCATCACCCCATTTCTTGACGAGGAAGTGGAGATTTGAGGGGCTGAGGGATGGATGGTCAGTGGAGTAGCATGCACCCTAAGTGGTTCTCTGGACTCCAAACCCCTGACAAACCACTGCCCACTCCACCCCACCTTCTCTCTTCAGTGACCAAGACCTGCGCCCAGTGTGAGATAGAGCACAGCGCAGATGGCCTCATGGAGCAGATGTGCTCCAGCGACTTTGGTGAGTATGGCACCCACCTGGCCACTGCCCCCAGCAGCCTCCTTGCCACATGCACACATGTGCCTACGCCTGTGAACCCAAAGAGCTTTTGCATCACCAACTCCTTTTAGAATCTGATGATAATCATGAGCCCTCTCCTCAGAGAAATGAACCTCTTTATGCACATCATACCAGGGGCTTCAGAAACCCCTCAAGGTCATGGTCCATGGGCCTCAGCAACCATCCCTGGCCAGGGCTCCTGTATACCAGCCCCACCTTGGCCCCATCTGGAGTGGGGCCCCCATTGCTGAAAAGTCTCACTGGGGGAGGCAGGCTTATCCCAGAGACCATGGGGCCACAGTGGGCAGAAAGCTCCAACATGGAAGGGGAGCCCCTCATTTCTGGGCCTCAGTGGTCTTCTGGCCAGGAGTACTGTGGTCATCTGTCCCCACAGAGCCATCCCAGAACCTCCCTGGGATAGTCCAGGCCAAGTCTAGTTAGGATCTAGCAAACTCAGGGACCACACAGTTCTGCCTGTGATCTGCCAAGTTAGTTCCCTGTTTTGTGTTTAAGCTTCCCTGTCTATAAAAGGCAAATAATAATAATATCCTTACTTCAGATGAGTCTTTTTGTTTGTTTGTTTTTTGTGGTGCTGGGGATCGAACCCAGGGCCTTGTGCATGCAAGGCAAGCACTCTACCAACTGAGCTACATCCCCAGCCCAGATGAGTCTTTTACATTAGTAGCCTGTTTGGAAAAAGAATAGTGCTATAATGCAAGAGGTGTGTGTGAGAGAGAGAGAAGGGGGCAGGGACGAGGGAAGGCAGAGGGAAGAAAGAAAAGAAATTTGAGAACAGGTGCCTTCCCTGAGTGGGCAAGTTATTCTCTGGCTTCTCAGAGAAGAGGGCCAGAGATCTAAAGAAGGGAGACACCAGCCTGAGGGACTCCTCACCCCAACCCTCAGCCCAGGACAGCTTATCCCTAAATATTAAGCTCTCTGTAGCTACCTCAAGTGACCTGGACCATGACTTCCTGGCCAAGGGTCCTGCCTTCATCCATGTGTCCCCAACCCACACTCACAGTCCTATACTGACCATAGACATACTCTCAGACAGAGATATCTAGCACATGCACAGTCCCACCCCACTGCATGATCTCCCTCGCACACACAGATTACAGTGGTGTGTCCATACCTGAGCTCCTCTATGGGCATCTCTTCTTCCCAGTTTCATGCCCAGTGGTGTGGTCGGCCTTAGTGGGTTTCAAGAAATGCCACCAAGCAGGGCTTGTCCTCCCCACAGCTGGCTGTTAAACATTACCAGTCCACCACTGCCCTACCACTGTCACCACACACACACACACACACACACACACACACACACACCCAGCCTGGTGATCACACACAACTAGAAATACCACCGGAGCCAGGCACAGTGGCGCATGCCTATAATCCCAGTTACTCAGGAGACTGAGGCAGGAAGATCACAAGTTCCTGATCAACCCAGGCAACTTTTGAGATCCTGTCTCAAAATAAAAATAAAGATAGGCGGGTTGCGGGGGGGATAGTTCAGTGGTAGAGCACCCTTGAATAAAAAACCCACTATCACAAAAAAAAAGAAAGAAATCCATTGGAGCCATTTCCAGAGATGATGAAGTCCATCACAAGGACCCCTTCCAAGTGGTCAGCCCAACCCCCAACCTCCCCTTCCTGGGGAACCCAACACCCACTTCACTGCCCATCCAGAGCTGCCCCCTGGCATTTGGTGCCCTGGAAAGTATCGAGCCCTGCAGTCAGCCAGACTTGATTCATTCTAAGCTCCACAATTTGGAAGGACACTCCCTTATTCCCCAGTTCCAGGACTTTGAGGATGAAACAAAGTCCAGTATCTGATAGGAGCTTCCTAAGTACTAAAATGTGCCCCTGTAAGTCACACCCCTCCAAGCCCCCGACTCCCAGACTCTGAACACCCAGAGCACACTGACACCAATCTGGGGCCACCACTGTCCTGAGTGGAACCGACCTTCTCAGGCTGTCCCTCTGCCCCTCCTTTCCCACAGTGGTCAAAATGCGCATCAAGGAGATCAAGATAGAGAATGGGGACCGGAAGTTGATTGGAGCCCAGAAAAAAAAGAAGCTGCTCAAACCAGGTCCCCTGAAGCGCAAGGACACCAAGAGGCTGGTGCTGCACATGAAGAACGGTGCGGGCTGCCCCTGCCCACAGCTGGACAGCCTGGCAGGCAGCTTCCTGGTCATGGGCCGCAAAGTGGATGGACAGCTACTGCTCATGGCCGTTTATCGCTGGGACAAGAAGAACAAGGAGATGAAGTTTGCAGTCAAATTCATGTTCTCCTACCCCTGCTCCCTCTACTACCCCTTCTTCTATGGCGCTGCAGAGCCCCACTGAAGGGTGCTCCCTGTCCCACCCAGCCAGCTGTGCTTTGCCTGCTGTCCCTGCCACTGGCCTTGCCCCCACTCCCAGGTTGACCCAGTCTCTGGCAGAGGGTGGCTTCGAGCAAAGTTGTTAGCTTTGCAGATCCCAAGGGAGGGGCATGGGGCTTGGGACTCATCCTCCTTGACCAAGGGGTCCTGGGGTCTTGGGCATCTCTTTTAGGAGAAGGGCTTTCTCTACGGGGGGAAGCCCCACGGTCTCCGAAAGTGGGCAGAGGGGGGAGAAAGCAAGGGAAGGATAAAGGGCTCGGGCAGCTTGAGGAGGGGCTTTCAGAGTGGACAGTGGCGACAGCTCCCCTTTGCTGCTGGTGGGGCCTCACTTCAAGAGGGGTCTGTTAGGCTGAGCTCCCAGGGGATCAGGTCTCCCTGCCCCACTCCCCTTTTATGTATCCCATCACAGCCCTCCAAAGAAAGGGAGTTGCCTCGATGCCCTCCCACCCTGCTTCCCTTCTTACCCAGCTCTCTACCCCAGGCCTAGAGCCCTGCTGGACCGGACAGCAAGGCCCCCTCCCCCAGGCCCTCTCCTTCTGGCCCACTCCAGCCTCCGCATCACCCTGATGGTGTAAGTTATTGCTACTGCTGTGAGGCCATAGCTTCTAGACAACAGACGCAGGTAGGGTTTGGCTTTTCTTTTTTTTTTTTTTTAAGTTTTTAATTAAATAATAAAAAAGAAAAATGAGTTCTTTTAGATCAGGTGGTTTATCAGCTGGCTATGAAGGGTGGGACAAGGGAGGTGTAGAGTGGACTTTTGCAAAAGGCCCTTATCTTAACCCCACAGCCTGGCCACCTAGACCTCCCTGGGAAGCCTCAGAAAAGCAATGCTGTTTTTTGTAGGCTCCCGAGAGTACATAGCAAGGGACACCCTGCATCCCAACCACTAAGCGAGTGATAGAGATGATCACCCTTTTTTGTCCCTGAGGAAGGACCAAAGTACCAAGTCCCCCAGCCTCCCGTGGTTGGAACTCTCCCACAGTCACGCAGCATCCCCTCTTGCGTGCCAAGTCCAAGGAGGCCTGGCTACAAGGAGCAACCAGAGAACCAGAGGCCTCAGGTGTGCCAATCCTCCCCTGTGGCTTTTGGGTATCTCTGGATACGGTCCCCACCTTAGGTGCCAGATGCTGTAGACTAATGCTCCTCTAAACATGGTCCCCAGGCCAGCCTCAGCAGCACTGCCTGGGAACTGGTTAGAAGTACAGAATCTCGGGCCCCACTCCAGGCCTACAGTATCAAGCTGCATTTTAACACATCTCCACTGGATCATCTAGGGAGCTTTTACAAAAAAAAAACAAAACCCAGGCCCCACTCTAATGCAACTCTGTCAAATCTCACCCAGAAATCAGTATTTCTAGGCACCACTTGGGTGATGAGTAACCAGGGCTGAGAACCTCCATCTAGATAAGGTAACATCTGAGGCAGGGAGAGGGTGAGGGGCTAACGGGTTTTCAGGGAGCTCAGAGCAGATGGAGGCAGCCACCGTGAAGCTTTGAACAGAGGCAAGAAGCGGCTGCCACTCAAATTGCCAGCATCTGGAAAGGGTGGTCCCAGGAAAGAGCTCCCTGCAGGGTCAGCAGAAGCTGAAGGACAGGGCAGCTGCCCCTAGAATGAGGGATGAGGCACCCCTGCAGGGTTTTCCTCCCGGTGCTGGAGGTCTGCTGCTCCTCCAAGACAAGGGCCAGCCTGGCACAGAGAGCCTGGAGTCCACGGTGCTGGAGGAAGGTGGCATCTCCAGAAAGACCCAGGCCAGCTTTGCAGTGGGACCAGCGCACGGTGTCCTGGCCTTTCTGATGTCAGCTCTCTCTCACAAACAGGTGGTCAACCTGCCTGCGAATGACCCTGGGCAGCCAGGTGGCCTCTCAGCACAGGGCGGGAGCAACAGAGGCCTCCCCATTCCTCCTCACCCTGAGGGAGCCTCTGCCATCCACCCTGCCAACCTGGCCTGGCCTGCCTGGCTCCCTGAATCTGCCCCTTGTCTCCCAGCCTCCCACCCCAACCAAATATTTACGGACACTTCTCTGGTCAACCAGGACCGGGTTATTTTTCCGCTGAGCACAGGACTTGAGCCCACCTCAGGCTGAAATACAATGCTGATCCCTGTCAGGCATTGGCAGCAGTGAGAGGCAGCCGGCAGGGGGGAGGCAGCTCCCTCCAGCCATCCCATGGAGCCCAGTGAGGCTCTCTGCTCTCACCCACCCTCACAAAGGGACCCAGGCCCTGCTGTACACAGGCATGACCCCGTCTGCTGTCAGCACACGCCCTGGGACTCTCTTTTCTGCAAACAAGAATCCTCCCAAAGTACCAGAGAGGTCCTTCAGGGCCTCAACCCCCAGCCTTCATTCTCTCAGGCCCTGCCTGCTGCGGGCCCTCCCTCCTGGCCGGCATGGAAACGGGGCCCAGGGGCCCAGCGGGTCAGCGAAGGCCTGCCCCTGACCACGTGGAACGGCACAGGAACGTGGGGGCTTCTCCACAGAGGAGGTTTGCAGGTGGACAGGTGGGAGGTCTGTCCCAGACTCCTCTGTCTTCCTGCTCAGTGGGGGAGGGCTGTGGTTAAAAGATGGTGCATCTGCCTCCTGAGATCTCAACCACATTCTGGGCAGCAAGGTGGGGAAGAGCTAAGAGCAAAAACCACACGCCAGCTGCCTCCAGCCCTCTTGATCAGGAAAACAGTAATTTCCCAGCCAGCCCTACCGGGTAGATTTCCACTTGTAGCTCAATGGCCAGAACTAAATCACATGGCCACCCTCCCGTGGCCAGAGAGTAGGGGATGAAGTTTTTCAATTCAGTACATAAGAGTTCTGATGTAAAGCAGGACAGGAAGGTTTGGGGGGAGGCACCTGCACACTCAGGCTGTGTGAGAGGAGGCAGGACAGCCCGATTTTGGCTTCTGACCCTGTGACTTAGTGACTGTGTGACATTGGGAACATTGCCAGCTGTAAGATGGTGTTGCTCAGTGTTAAGTGTCAAATGCATGGAAAATACCTGGAAATAACACACAACATTTAGAAAATGTTCATTAAGTGGTAATTTGTATTTTTATTAACTAAAAACCATGACCAAGCAGTGCCTATACATAGTAGGTGCTCAGTAAAATTACTGATCCCTTAACCAACTAAGAGACAAATGTCAGAAAGGAAGAGAAAAGCCAGATGCATCTTAACTAGCCAGAATTACAGAACATGCATTTGAGGTTTGCTTCAGAACTGCATCCCCAGGTGGTGTATCAGCCAATACGGGGAAGAAAACATCTAATACTAGTAATTCATAAATATCAAAGCCATGATGGGTAGCAGGCACTACATTTTCACAGCCAGGCATGGTGATGTACACCTGTCTTAAGAATAAAAATATTTTTAAAAGGCTGGGGACATAGCTCAGTAATAAAATGTCTCTGAGTTCAATCCCCAGTACTTCCCCCCCAAAAATCATTTAATATTCTAATTTAAGCCTCCCAACAGCTCTTCAGGGTAGTGTAATTTAATGATAGTGGCTGTAGCTCAGAGAGGTTAAGAACTTGTTGGCAGTCACACAGCATACATGTTGGTGCTATAATTTGACCACATTCTTAACACACTACTGTATGCAGAGGCAAAACCAAGGACAAGACAAGGGGTGCAGGCAGCCATGCTCCCACCAATCTGCCTCACAAGAAGATTTCTGGGAGCCCTGTTCCAATCCCACTCCAAGGGCCCTGACAAGCAGAGGAGCCAGTGGCTTTTCTCCAGATTCCCAGACAGCCTACCCCACCTCCTCTCTTCTAACCCCTGCCAACATCCAGACTCAAGTCCCCACAAAGGAAGCTTATATCCCACAACTGTTTAGTCAGCTGTAATCCTGGCTAAAGTTCACTCCTTAGGAAATCTCACGTGGGGGGTAGTTGGTGTTGGAATGTATGTGGCTGTGACCCAGCGTCCCAGCCCAGACTGCAGGCTCTGCTGGGGCCTTGAAGCAAGCAAGCAGCCAGGGGAGCCCGGAATCCCCAGCCCCCAGCTGTGCCAGAGAATGGAATGTGCTGCTCTGGGTGAAGACAGAAGGTGGGGTGGCAGGAGCTGGGGGAGGGGGCTCTGCCACAAGGCTGCCTCTGTTCTGCTGGAGGCTGAGCCCACCTCCCTACAGCTGGAGATGGGGGAAGAGAGAAAGGCTGTGTTTAGCGGGCAGGCCCCTTCTGATGGCTCAGAGGCTAGCCCTGGAGTTAGCGGGGAACAAGCAGGAGAGAGGGGAGGGTGAATGCCCAGAGTGCTGTGTTCATCCAGTTCTCTTACAGGGGCCCCACCAGCACCTGCAGCCCAGTTCGCTTCCTGCAGGTTACTCACCTCCCCATGCTTCCATTTTCTCCCCAGTTAAGAACATCCGGGGTTGCAGGGACTGTCAGGGGCTGAAGTGAACTACTGTACTCAGCAGGTACCCTGGCATTAACACTCTGACTGCAGGTACCACTATCATCCTGTGGCCACCAGCTGAGGACAGATGTGCGGAGAGGTCAGGCATCTCTGAAAGGGTACCTTGAAGGTCCCATGGAGAGATGGAGACAGAGCTTCACCTTGGCTTCAGCCCCTGAGACCACAGATCCTGATGATCCCAGAAACTACTCCCGGTTCAAGGTCTGCCAGGGCTCACCAGAGCCGCTCAACACCATGACCAAACCACAAAAGGCCTGGCGGAGCCCCGAAGCCAGGCCAGGCTGTGGGTTGGGGTTCCAGGTCTGCCCGAGCAGGTGCCAGGGCTGCGGCAGAACCTGCTGGTTGTCCCCTCCCACCAGGTGCCTAAGAACGAACTGGGAGGTGTCTTTTGAAGCAGGCATCCAATTCTTTAAAGATATCCATGTGTGGTCCTCTCCACACACTGACCCTGACTAGCAATAGCACCCACACAATCCTGCAAACCTCTCTGTAGCTTTGTTCTCCTGCAAGAGAACACCCCTGGCCTGCTGTGGCACGCACCTCGAGGAGCTCAGGAGGTGGCCCCGGCTTTCCCTTTCCCACCTCTGGAACCCACGCCTGGGAGCACAACCTCCGAGTTCCTCCTGCAGCAGGCAGCATGCCACCAACAGCAGGTTCTGTTTTCATTTTCCAAAAATAAAATGATATTGACACTACTTTTTCAAACTACACTCATATTCTCCCTGATATTTTCTCTGAAAAATAATCTAAAAATTATTCTCTGGCTTGAAACTTAAAATCGCTGTTGCAGAGCATGCGGACAGTGCTCACTCTCTCCCCAGAGGTTGTCGATGGCAACGCCAAGTGAGCACCTATGCAGTGGTTACTGGATGTCAGGGGCAGGGCTCCTCGCCTCCTATGGACTCTCATTTAACCCACACAGCAGTCCAACAAGGTCGCTGTCACCATGGTGACCATGTTACAGTTGAGGAAAGCAACACAGACTGGGGGCAACTCATTCTCACACTGCTCCAGTCCATGGTAAAGGACATGGTTAAGAGGGCCAAGTGTGGAGCAGGCCATGGTAGGTACCCACCTGCTGCTGCTGAACTCTGCTCCTGCTCTGGGAGAACAGTGCCTTTGTCAAAGGCTTGTAATGAGCACCAAGTAAGACAATGTTTGTGAAGCGCTTGCCCAGGGCCTAGCACCTAGTGAGTACCCAGCCCGCCCCAGCTCTCGAGCTGGC